GTGTACCACAACCATTAATGTTCCATGTTACAATATTTATACTTGATTTACCCATTATTCTCCAATGGAAATAATATCAGAACTGAGTCTAGGGTTCTACTACCTAGCATATACGGAAAAGTTGGAGCAAATGCAACATAGATTCTTACCTCACTGTTTTCAAAACAATAGAACAGTAAATAAAAGTAGAAAATGGACAAATAAAACACTGCTCTAAAAAAGAACATCGCAGTGAAGCCTTCCTGAAGAAAAAGTCAAGTCTTATCTGGTCCGTGTGGGTTCTGGAGACGACCTCTCTGCTGTTCCCGTCGTCTTGATCCTGACCACGCCGCAGTGTTCGTCCAAGCCCCGTCAGATGTCGTGTTTCCTCCGCTCTCCTACTCGTTGATATCAGCAGATGCTCCCTCGCCATCTCCCACGATCTGTCTTCCCGTTGTGTTTCCGCCTTCCTCTGCACTCTCGATGTGTTCTCGTACAAAACTTTCTGCCTCTTTTGCATCCGTAAAGCTGAGCCGTTTTCCTCTCCATGTAAACCTGAGTATGGCCGGATGCGCCAGCGTGTGCTTCACCTGCTGTTGCCATAACCGTTTCATCACTGTGGAAAACATTTTGCGCCGTGCTGAGCGCTCCTTGGTCATGTCCTCAAATAGTGATAGACGGCAGCCATCCCATAGTATCCCCTTCTTCTTCTTAGCAGCAGCCAGAACTTTCTCTCGGGCAGTAAATTTGAGAAATCTCACCAGTATGATGCGCGGAGGTCGGTTGGGATCCGGGCGAGGACCTAAGCTTCTGTGGCAGCGTTCAATCTCATATTCATCTCCATTCAACTCTAGACCATCACAAAGTATTTTCTGCACGTATTTAGCTAGTGGCATTCCAGCCTCTTTCCCCTCTTTTAGTCCAACCAGTCTAATGTTTTTACGACGGGCTCTGTTTTCCTGGTCATCAATTCTCTCATAGAGTTGTTCAACTGTTTTGGTTAGCTTCACGTTGTTTCTTGCTAGGTTAGCTACAGTGTCCTCCACATCCGAAATGCGTCTCTCAGCTTCAGTTAGCCTTGTTTTAATTGCATTCACGGAGTTCTTGAGTTCTGCTGTGTCCGATTTAATCAAAGCCACATCGCTAGCTATTCCATTTAACGTCGCTCCCACCTTGGCAA